GGAGTAAAACAGTTAGTCAGACAGCAGAGAGTGCTGTACAAAAGCAGTTAATATATTAGTTTTGTCCTGAGGTCTCTGTGTGAGACGGTTCCTGTGTGAAACATAAGAGAGAAGTCTGGTGTGTGTTAAGAAAAGTTAAAGCATAAAGAAACAGTGACCATATATGGCTAAAGGAAACTATTGTTACATAGTGACATGCCCAGAGCCCTGTCAGTGAAGAGAAAAGTGTGTGAAACAGCAAATAAATCTACTTTTATTTAAGATAACAGTTCTGAACGAAATTCCTCAGGAAATAACACATAGTCCTTCATGAATGCCTAGACCCTGGCCACATTACCAAACCAGAAGAAGAAATATATTATAGTAAGAGGCTGGGAAAGCCTTAAATTTCCCTGGTGGCGGCGAGAATACCCTACAGAGTAAAAACATAAGAACTTTTAAAGGAAAACCAGACCTCCCCAGATAAGATTTGTGCACACAAGTGTTCAAGAAAACTTCCAGGAGGGGACAGGATCCCCTCCTCCCCCTGTCCTAATCAGAACTGCGGCCCCCACAGTGTTTTTAAATGGGGTTCCTACTGGGAACTCACAGCTGCAATACGGCTGCAAGTGCCTGTATGTTTGTTGTAATATGTAGTTCAACCCTAAATGTGCTTAGCTTGCAGCCTTAGCTTATTCCGTCTATATAAGGTAACTTCATTTAAGAGCAATGAATACATAAAAGTGTTTTTTATACCAGAATACGCTTCCAAGGATGATCACCGAGATTTTGCTGGAGAATTGGAAGTCCTTTGTAAACTTGGACATCACCCTAATATAATAAACCTTCTGGGAGCATGTGAACATCGAGGTAAGTTTTTCTTCTGGTTAAGGCTTCAAAAGGTATTTTGGGAAAGCTGGAAAATATGAGTTTTGTACATAGTTCACCCTACTGCAAGCAAAAAAAAAAAGGAAAAAGGTGAAATTATATGTTTGCCATTTCATGTATCTCCTGTATTCAAAGTTTTAAATATGGAAGCCTGAATTAAAACAGGGGCTGCAAGTGCCTTCCACCGACCCATGCTGGTGAAAAGTCTTTATTTGTTTTACTTTTCTGTCTATTGACAACACAGCAGTCTTCTTGAGACCGTATTGGTGCAATGCTTTGTGCGTGGGGACTGTGCTTGAAAACTCTTTGGAATCTTCAGCTGGTGCCAGATGTAGTGGCTGCCCTCCTAAAAGGCATCCGTCATTGTGAGCACATTATAGCAGTGCTCCAACATTGGCTCTAGCTTCCTATACAGCACAATTCAAGGTGCTGGCTAAAACTTTTATAGCCCTAAACAGTTTGGGCGTAATATGCTGTAGAAACCACCTCTTCCCATATGAACCTTATGATCTCTGGGATGAACCAAATGATACTACCTATCAGGTTCCAATAGCAAGGCTAAGACATTCTCAGCAGTTGCCTTCTGGGTACGGAGCTCCCTCCTGCTACAGAGTTGCCCAAGTTCAAGCAAAGCATCTCCCAGAAGTGTCAGCAGCAGTGTCTTGTGAGATAGGCAGATAGTAGTGGCCAATGCAACTGGGTGGGGAAGGACCCGATACCCTCTTAACCAGGAGGCATTGCAAGATGCAGGTGAATAGCTGATGAAGACCAAGAGTATTCGGCATGGCTTAATGACCCCACTACCGAGTACCATCTGACTCCTAAGAACTTGGAGCCTCCACCTCTTTTGGTTACCACTAGTTGTATGACCAACCTGCTTGGGGCTCAGAGTTATGTTGTGGATGGGTATGGCTGGGACCATTCACAAACTATATACATGGGCTTGGGGAACATGGGAGGTACATGTAGGGCTTCAGGGGAGGAAAAAGCCAAAAACTTGCATAACAGTCTGGTATTCTTAAAGTACAGGGCAGGAACTTACCCTCTTTTTGGTAAAGAGGGGTATATTATGTCTGCTCCGGGTCTCATGAGTCCTCCCAACAGTCTTGCTCATAAGTCCTCAGTTTGGTCCACGTGCTGTGAGCCCATTCTCTCTGTTTTGTAATAGGGTATCTCTATCTTGCTATTGAATACGCTCCTCATGGAAACTTGCTGGACTTCTTGCGGAAGAGTCGGGTCCTAGAGACTGATCCGGCGTTCGCCATTGCTAACAGTACGGCTTCCACGCTGTCCTCCCAGCAGCTACTTCACTTTGCAGCCGATGTGGCCAGAGGGATGGACTACCTGAGCCAAAAACAGGTCAGCCATTTTGGGTTGGGGTGGTTGTTGTTGTTGTTTTGCAACCTCAAAGTGATATCCGTTGATGCCATGATACCAAAAAAAACCCATGAGGTACACTTGAGGCTTTATTGTACCAGGTGTCACCACCAGTGCCCCGCCCTTACATTCGTTTCCAGGGCTCAAGCCTGGAACTTGCAAAACGAGAAGAGATTAATGTGCCCCTGAGTGTGGACAATTATCCTCACTGCTACTAACAATGAAAGAGAGCCCGCATTTACCAGGGACGAGAGGAAGGGCTTCCCAGATGACACTGTAGTGTTTCCTTCGATGCAGACATGACCCAGGCATTGTAGTGAGCAGGGCTGCCGGAAGGCAGTCCAGAGATTCC